ACTCTAGAAGTCCAGAGGGTGTTTTGTTGTGTTCTGTTGCCAAGTACTTGGATGGTGCAGTAGTATCAAGTCAGTTCAAGTCTGGTTCAGTTGTGTGTGATGTTCAGGTATAACGAACTTGATGGAGTAGCAGCTGGAGGAGACAAAGATGGCTAAGGTCTGATCCCCACCCCCTGGAATTCACAAGCACAAAAGAACAATTCCAATACAAGACAGAGAGAGTTGAAATGGATTAAAAAAGCAGGCTTATTTGGGGAGATTACAGGATAGGCCAAGATTCAAGGAAAATTTTGGAAGAGAGGGGGTTGGGGGGTGCCTGGGTGGCTCAGTTGGTGAAGCGACTGCCTTCAGCTCAGGACTTGATCCTGGAGTCCCAGGATTGAGTTCCAGGATGGAGTCCCACATCGGGCTCTTTGTTCAGTGGGGAGTCTGCTTCTCCCCCTGACTATTCCCTCTCATGCTCTCTCTCATTTTCTCTCTCAAATAAATAAATAAAATCTTAAAAAAAAAAAAGAAAGAAAGAAAGAAAGAAAGGAGGTTGGGGTGGGGTGAGGGAACATCCAAAGAAAACCTGGGAATGTTTGGACACTTGTACTGATGTGTCCAATATCAGAGAGTCAGGTCATTGTCAATGGAACCTGACCTCTAGGCAGAGCTAAAGACGTTCAAAGACTTTTTAGAATTATCCAGAGACAAATGGTAGGGTGACAAGATTTACCATTATTTTGAATAAAGCAAACTTCTGAGGTTAAAAAACCTGTAATCTATTATCAACACAAGGCAGTAATTCTGCTGAATCGATGAAAGGATCTATCCCAGAAGATCAGGTTGGATTGTGGAAAATGAAGGAAACAATTTCCTGCTATATTCATTTGCTCAATCAAAAGTAAGAGGTGAAGGGTGGGAGATATTTAGATATTGCATATACTTCAAACTTAATATATTAAAAACTGGAGCCCAGGATCTCTCCTCTCAATCAGTCATTCTTTTCAGAACATGGGTGGTCTTGAATATTAGGCTAGGGCCAGCCACATGGGACAGCAAGGCTGAAAGAAGACATTGGGACCGGGTAGGTGATCATGGGGCCTCGATAGGACTCCAGTGATGGGCCCTAAAGCACAGCAAAATGTCTAAGATCCAATCCAAATTCAGCTATGGTTTGGACAGGGAGGGGGTCAAATCCCAGGCACTGAATCTAGGAGGTGTGAAATGCTTCCATCCTGGAGGAGAGAAGATTTGGGCTTAC